ATGCTTAACTGACTGTGCCATCCATGTGGCCCTTTTGTTGTTTACTTATTTGTGTTTGTGACTAGATCTCAAAGCTGTGCTAGTACCTATTTCATGGCTCATATCTTTACAGCATATTTCATCATTTATTAAAATTAAATGGAATGCCAAAATAAAAGAATAATTACCAGGTTACACACAATGAGAATTTATAGACTATCATTCTCATTAATTTACTAAATTAACATGAGATTATTTCTCCTACAATCTTGCCACAGATGGATACCCTTTTTTCTTTTTTTTTTCCCAATGATGGATATAAATACTATTCATGGGTAGGTATAGATACAGATATAGATATATAAATCTCTCTGAATAATTAGGACACACTGAATATTATATATATATATGTATATATATTTGTTAACAATTTGATTTCTTTCTTACATTAGTTGTCTAGTTATATTTTTATTAATTCTTTTTTCTTTTCTTTCTTCCTTCCTTCCCTTGTTTCTTTACCTTCCTCTCTCTCTTCCTCTCTCCTTTCTTTCTTTCTTTCTCTCTCTCTCTTTCTTTCTTCTTTCTGTCTTTCCATTGATATTAAGTGGTTCCTTGTATTTGTGGAATAGTAATTTGTGATCTGCTATGTGGATTACTAATGTAGCCTCCAGTTCCGTCATTTGCCTTTGAAATATTTTTCAATTACAGGTTAGGTTTTTAAAATAGTAGCTATTACAAACTTTTCTTTTATGGGTTTTTAGCCTCCTGGAGAATGTCAAAGGAGGAGATTGGTGGAGGGATTTGAACATTATGTGTAAAGCTTAAATTTTTAAAATTTATTATGGGTGTAATTAAACTTCATTGACGCTTGGGGAAAAAATAATTCCTTCAAATTTTCAACTTTTTTGCAGTTTTGAGTTTTACATTTGTATTTTGCATGAGAGAGAGAGAGAGAGAGAGAGAGAGAACTGTGCTCTATTTCCCAATTGGAAAGCTGATAATTGCAATTCACTGTTTCTAGTAGTTCATTATTTTCACACAGATTTTAAATGTTAGCATTATCATATATTAAATGTTTATACATCTGCTTTAGCAAACTCTGCTCTACCCCAGAGACTCATTTGTCTCCCCATGTCCCACACTGCTGGGCCTCCATGACATGAGGGCAGAGGCCTCATTTTGGTTGGGTTGGCCATGCGGTCCCTGTAGATCCCCCCGTAAGGCTGGTTCACAGGAATAGAATCCCTGTGCTCTTGGTAAATTCTGTTTATATATCCCAGATAAATATTCTGTCCTATAACTTGACTGACAGACCATGTTGCTCTGAGACACTGCTGTGAGTAAACCCATCAGGAATCTCTTCCCAGGCTCACAAGGTCCCAGTTCATTCCCATCCTGTGTGCCTTGCAAGCCCTTGGAAACTCCTGATGAGATGTTAGAAAATCCCCACACAGCTTAGTTCTCATCAGCTTCCCACCCACACTGATCACACACCCTCAGCTGAAAGCAAACCCACTCTTCCTCCCATGTTCCAAGTCACTCACGGCTTGCACCGGAGAACAGGTACACTCTTGCTCATGTGTGCTCCTCCCACACTATGATCTGTCTTTGCTCTTTTAAAAATCTCCGCTACTTTGAAACTCATAATGTTAGAAACCATGCGCTACCTTCCTTGCTGTCATGAAAATTTGAATTCCTTCCTCATGACTTTCCCCGTTAACCCTGCTCTGGTCACTATTCACAGCGCCTTTAACCTCTATCCATCACGTTTCTTGACCTCCTCGAGGACATCGATGGATTTCTGTTGACCTCACCTTATTTGCACACCCTTGGCACCTGTCATTAAGACTCTGATAGTTTTCCCTGTAGTTCTCCTTACCTAGGTCCCTCTCCCATCAAATTCTCTCTTAACCAGTTTGATTCTATAATTCAAATTCAAATTATACCTTTAAAAACACCATCATGGCTAATTTTATGTGCCAACTTGCTTGGGTGATAGGGTCCCAGATATTGAGTTAAACTTTATTTCTGGGTGTGTTTATGATGTTTCTGGATGCACTTAACATTTGAATTGATAGACCGCATAAAATTGATAGACCCCCAATATGCAGGAATCTCCACCAATCTTTAGAACACCCAGATAGGACAAAAAAATCTGAGTAGGAAAGATTTCTCTCTCTCTCTCTCTCCCCTCTCACCACCTCCCCCCAGACACTCATCTTCTTCTGACTACAGACATGGACTGGAGCTTAACCCTCAGCTCTCCTGGGTCTGCAGCTTCCCTACTGCAGGTCTTGGGACTTCTCAGGCCCCACAATCACATGAGCCAATTTCTTTTTTTTTTAAGATCTGTTTATTTTAGAGACAGAGAGAGCACGAGGGGGAGGAGCAAAGGAGAGGGAGAGAGAATCTCAAGCAGAATCAGAGCTGAGTGTGAAGCCCTACGAGGGGCTCCAATCTCATGACCCTGAGATCATGACCTGAGCAGAAACCAAGAGTCAGATGCTTAACCTCCTGTGCCACCCAGGCGTCCTGAGCCAACTCTATATAATCAATCAACCTGCCTTGTCCTCCCAGACCCTATCTCCATGGCTGAGAGCAAATGCACACACACACACACACACACACACACACACACACACACACACACAAGCATACACACGCATACACACGCATACACACGTACACACACTCTCACACTGGTTCTGATTCTCAGAGAACCCTGTCTAATACACACCTTAACTCATTCACTTCCTCCCTCTTTATTCTTTTGGACTCAGTTAATAAAATATTGGATAAAATGTAGTGGTTAAAACCATTCAGGTAAAAACAAATCTGAAGAAGATTAATGAATCATTTTTTCCTGATTTCCAGTTTCATTTGAAGAACTTAACCCTGAAACAAACACTTTGATATTTTTCCTCATAATTCTACTACATTCTCCAGGTCTTTTCCACTTCCCCCTTGGAGAATTCTGTTTCTCATGTTCAGCTGTTTTGTCAAATCTCAAATATTTCCCTCCTGCCCCATCTCACACAGACTTGCTTTGTACTTCCCTGGTAGACTGGAAGACAGAGAACCAATGTTCCCATTCAGGTGCCAGGCCCCCCTCCCTGGCTCGTTCCACACCACAACCACTATCCCCAGCCCCTGCTGCCATCAAGGGTCAAGTGTCTGAGAGCCACTCCACCCTCCACCTGCACTTAGCAGTCCATCCTTCCCGACCCTCCCAAAGATCCCTTTGTTGAATATATCCCCTGTCTTCTTTTTTTTTTTTTTTAATAAAATTTCAGAACAAAGTAAAACTGCCTCCCACCTTCCCACTTGCCTGCTCTATTTCACGACGGACGATCTACCAAATGGTTTCTCCGGACCCTGCTTCCACATCCACTCCTTCTAATGTCTTCCATTTGAATCCAGGCTTTACCTCCAACACTCCAAAAGGATTCCTCTTTCCAAAGTCAGTGTTGGAATATCTCAACTTCTCAGTGGCCGTCAACGTGGGTGATAAAATCCACCTTCTAAAGCTCTCCCCTCAATGTCCCGGCTGCTTCTGACTTGTCTCCCACCTCCACAGCTGTGCTTTCTCAGGCTTCTTCTCTCTCCCTCTTCTTTCTTTTGCCCTTTAAACATCAGAGGATGATAGGGCTCATCCTTGGCCACCTTCTCTGTGTTTTCTGCTTGGTGAACTCATGTAGCCCCCGGCTTCACGCACCATGGGTATCAATGGGCATATGTGTTCAGGATTTCTACATCTCTCTCTGACTTCAAACTCTGCACTGAGTGCCAGGCTCATGTTTCCAACTACACAGGTGACAATTTCACTGGGATAACAAATGAATGCATTGAGGAAACATGACTGACTTAGAACCTTTGATATCTCATATTATGTTCTCCATCTCAATAAATGGCACAAAAATGCAAGTTTTGGAACCTTAAGCTAAGATTCTTGGATTCCTCTGCTTTCCTAATGTTAACATCCATTGCATTAGGAAACCCCAAAATATCCACCTTCAAGACACACCTCAAATTCATGTGCACCTTCTGCCTGCATCATTTCTCTTTCAGACCAGTCCACCCTCATCTGGTGCTTGAAACGCAGCACTGGGCTCCTCTTGTTTCTGTTTCAGTTGCTGACTTTGGATAATACACTCTCCACACAATGGCCAAAATGACCAGTTTAAAACACATCAACCTGATTAGTCTCACCTCTGCTTAAAACCTGTGTTTCTGGGGCACCTGGGTGGCTCAGTGGGTTAAGCCTCTGCCTTCAGCTCAGGTCATGATCTCGGGGTCCTGGGATGGAGCCCCTTATTGGGATCTCTGCTCAGCAGGGAGCCCGCTTCCCCCTCTCTCTCTCTGCCTGCCTCTCTGCCTACTTGTAATGTCAAATAAATAAAATCTTAAAAAAAAAAAAAAAAAAACACTCTGGTTCTTAGAATAAAACTCTTCCATGACCCCTGATGCTTTGTATTACTTCTTTGTTGTCTGTGTCCCTAACCTCACATTCTCTCTCACCACCCTCTAGCTTTACTGAACTTCAAATAAATAAACGTTATTGCCAGTGCCAGATCTTTGCCCCTGCTCTTGATAGTCCAGAACATATTTTCCTATTATTTTTATATAAAAAGAGGTCTTTTTAAAATATTAATGTTATTTTTAATAAGATTAAATCTTTATACAAACTGGGCAAATAGGGAAGGTGGGGGAAGAAGAATACCTTCCAGGAAAGGAAGAGAAAAGGCAGAAAGGTGTAGGCAGGCAGGGGGAGGCAAGGGGTTTAACATCAACAATCTTCAGTGTGGGCTTTCCAGAGTAAGGACCGGCAGGTCAGGGGACTACAGTAGTACTAGGACAGGGTCCCCCGGAGGGGTAGAGCATGGGGTCAGCAAGATGAGAATATAGAGGTTTAAGTTTCAGCAGGCAAGTAGCAGGGCCCTGACTCTTAGGAGTCAAAGGGGCCAGCAGGCTGGGCATCCTGGGGGATCGGGGGCAGGGAAGAGACCCTCCTGGTGCTGTTCTTATGCACTGGAGGAGGGTGGGAGGCCCCAGGAGCGTTGCATCTTCTCCCAGCTCTGCAGCAGAGGATCTGGGCCCTGGGCAGACACCGCCCCTGCAGTGGGGTGGGCAGCAGACAGTGAAGGCTGGCCATCAGGCTGGAGGTCAGCAACTTCCCTGCAGACGTTGTCGCTCCAGGAGTGAAGGCTTCTGCTCAGAGGCCCTGGTCTTGGCACGAAGGAAGGGACCACACCATTTCTGATCAGGGGCTTGAAGGCAGATGGCCTGGGCTCCGGCTTCTGCCTCCTGCTCCTGCTCTCTGGGATCTCAAACCAGAGGGGCCCATTAAACTTCCTGTTCCCCTTCTGGCACTGGCTGAGAGCCCTCAGCACGGTCTCCTTGGCACAGGGGTCTGGGCGCTCCTCTGCAGGTGGATGCCCTGCAGGGCAGGCACTGGGAGCCTGTGCCCGGGACACCCAGGGGCTCCCTCTGTGTTCAGGGGGCGCGATCCTGATCGTCACAGGGCTCCAGATCCGTCTTGGGTGACGGGCACTCCAAAGGCACCGCTTCATGTAACTCTCCCAGGCGCTGGAGAGATCTGGCCCCAGGACTGTCTCAGGAGGCGGCTTGGCAGGAAAGCGCCTCCATGCCTCAGTGACCACCCTCTGCGGCTGTGAGGGGTCCCAGTTGGGCGGCATCCGTGGGAGGGGTCTGAAGCGGATGCGGGGCCCACCGTCCTCCGCCTGGGAAGGCCTGGACCACGGGTTCGGGCGCCCTTGAGTGAGGGGTTGTGTCGCGGGCTTGGGTGTGCTCAGGTAGCTGCCCATGGGAGCGGGCGTCAGGGAGGGGGACTTCTAGTGGGGATTCGACTTCCAGAAGTTCCCAATGTCGCCAGAGGCAGCTGCAACCGAAGCGCCCAGGGCTCGGATGACCGTTGGCATCTGTGTGCACAGAAAGCGCGCGCGGGCCTGGGCGCTGGAACGCTCCACATCCCGTGGGCGCGTGAGGCAGGAGAAGGTTGGCAGAGGGGATGCGGGGGATGTCTGCAGGCACAGCTGCAGCACGCGTGTGCATGGTTATCTGGAGGCCACAGCCTCCAGACCCTGTTCTTCCCGCTGCTGAGAGCAAAAGTTTGGCTGCAGAGAGAGGCTTAGGAGCTCAGCATCTCCACTCCCAACCCCCAGCATCTTTATCACAACATCGTTTACATACCATAGAGTTCGCCCAAAGAGTACAGCTCTGTGACTTTCAGCACATTCACCGATTCGTGCATCCATTACCATAGTCAACTTGAGAATATCGTACTTCAAACAGAAAGCCTGGATGCTATGAATATCACCGTCCCATCCACCTGCCCTTACCCCAGCCTTAAGCCACCACTAACTCATTTTCTCTTCAGTTATAGATTTCCCTATCGTAGGCTTTGGTATAAACGGGATTATGTAATATGTAGTCCTTTGTGACTGGCTTCTTTTGCTTCACATACTGTTTTCCAAGTCTATTATGCAGTAGCAAGTAGCAGCTTTTCACTCTTTTTATGATCCAGCAAATAGTGCATTGCACGGATAGATCACATGTTGTTTATCCTTTGCCAGTTAATGGGCATTTGGGTTGTTTCCACGATTCTGATATTATGAATAATGTTGTCGTGAACATTCATGTATGAAAGTTTGTGTGCACAAATATTTTCATTTCTCTTGGGTGTATAGCCAGGGTAGAATTGCTAGGACATACCTTAACTGTTTATTTTTTTATTTTTATTTTTTTATTTTTTTTAAGATTCATTTGTTTGAGAGAGAGCACATACTAGCAGGGGGAGGGGCAGTAGGAGAGGGAGAGAGACTCCTCAAGCAGACTCCATGCTGAGCAGGGCACCCTACTTAGGGTTCAATTTCATGACCCTGAAAGCATGACTTCAGCCAAAATCAAGAGTCCCAGGCTGAACCTACTGAGCCACCCAGGCACTCCTTCACTGTTTAACTTTTTGAGAAATTTCCAAACTATTTTCCACAGTGTCTGTACAAGTCTACATCTCCACCAGCAGTTGTCTCTACTTTGGTACTTGACTCTAGAGGGAGAAGGTATAATAATTTTTGCAGTTCATAAAAATTACAGATTGCGTATTGGCAGACGGCCATTCCCTTTCGTTATCGTAAAAACTAAACATAATTCACTTGAACGCTCTTTTAAGGAAAAATAAATAACTAGGTTTTGTTTCCGTAAATGTGATGCATGTTTTATTCTTCTAGAATAGTTGTTGATGTTACTTTCTGCAATTTGCCTCTTAAGGAAATGGTGACAGTAGACCATGATTTATGTTTTAGTCCTGACAACGTTGGTTTTAAGAAGACTGTCCTATAATTTAGGTTTCATACATTCATATGTAGATTTTAGTCTTTCAAACGTTAATGCAGTTTCTCTTTTTCTTCCATTTTTACTAGTAATCCATGTTTATGCAGTAGTGGCTCACATTTCCAACTAACAGTTAACAAGCATCTGACTATAAAAACAGGGCTTGAAAACTATTACATATATATATATATATATATATATATATATATATATATATATATAATGATGGAGTTTGGAGGTCTGTTGAAGGTGATGTAAAGCAAACTGTTCTCCAGAATGTTTTCCTCAAAAGCACTTGCACAAAGTGCCTTCTGAGTTAGCCAGTAAAGGTAGAGAGAAGTAGAGTCTGGCAAAGTAAGTACCAAATTCAAGAGCAAGCAACAGGTGCTTTCTGGATCTGAGAAGCAAACAAGTGAAGGTTGAGGACATTAAAAGGAGCTTACTGAAAGCTTTATAAGGCTTCAGCAGTTTGGAAAGAAGTCACTTGTTGGAAAGGTAGGTGTGCCATCAGCCAAGGGATACTGGAGGGTGAGATCCGTGATACTTCCTACTCACTAATTCATTTTCATTTCTTCCACATTCCTAATTTATGAATGATCCCACAGAATATGATTTTGAAAACAAGAACTTCCTATGCTATAATTTTCTTCTTAATAAGACATTTCTTGATAATGACAGCAAAGACTTTTATAGCTAAGAAGCCTCTTAAGACAATGATATCATTACCATCAGAATGGACCATTAATGCAATCGAATATAGATTTCTTAAAATGTATTTCAATCCCTAGTATTGACAGAGTTTCCACATCCTATCTGCAGTGTAATCCAATGGATGTCATTTTGGTTTGTGGTAAAACACTCTTCCAAAAACCACAGTCTCTCACTTCTAAATGCATCTTCACCAGTAAATCAACATGTTTGTTGATTAGTCAAAAGTTATTTGCATAGACATTGAACATGTCTGCTTCTTCTCCTTCTCACACACAAAGAACTAACAGGTTTATTTTGGTTAGTTGACATTAATAATTAAGGTAAATCAGTGGTTCCCAATTAGAGGCAGCTTTGCGGCTTTCCAACCTCTGTCCCAGGGACATTAGAGAAAGTAGGTTGGGGATAAGGGGTAAAGGCCAGGGATGTTGCTCAACATTGTACAGTGCACAAGACGGGCCCCGCAGCAGAGAATGATCTGGCCACAGATGTCGGCCCTGCAGGAATTGAGAAACTCTGCGCTCAGTAGTTCCCTTATCTTCCCTTAATGTTATTAAGTTAAGTTGCTATGGTAAGTTTCTCAAAACTATGAAATTAACTTCAGTTCAATGTTGTGAAACAAATCCCATTCTCTGTTTAAATGTTACCAGTTGTTCCTTTTCTTTTTCAGGAACTAATCCTTTTCAGTCTGTTCTAATCTATGAGAGTTTATCCATCCTTCTTGTTTTCCAGGACCTTGACACTTTGAGAACACTGACCAGTATATTTTAGAAATGCTCATTTTTTTTTTTAATTTTCAGCAACTTAATTGTTTTATATTTACCTTTAATTTAATTATACATTCAGATAGCTTGAAGCTCTAAACCATCCTGAATTCTTATTGAAAACACTGAAAAAAAATATATATATATATACACACACAAGCACACACAGTTTATCTTATTCTCTTTTTCTCACAGAAATCTGGTTTCATTATTCTCCATTTCCTTTTATTCATTTTTTTCCTAAAGTGCTACTACAAATATTGTAGTTCTTTTCATTGTTCCTGTTGACCTGAGCTTGGTGATCTTTACATTTATCCCATGCTGGTAGAGCTGACCACTTCCTTATACTCAGCACCTTGGGGCCGAATTTGGATCACAGATTCCATTTCTTTGGTCGTATTGTTTACTTGTACTTATCAAGTAACCTTTTTTTTTTTTAAACAACTGTATTGAGATATAATTTATATAGCATGCAATTCACTCGTGCAGAATTCATTGGCTTTTAATACATTCATAAATATGGGAGTTTTCGTATTTCACAGAAATGGGAATTTATTTTTTAATTTAAGTTTTAATTAAATATAAATTTATTTTTTTAAGATTTATTCATTCGTTTTAGAAGGGGGAGGGGCACAGGAAGAAGGAGAGGGAGAATTCTCAAGCAGACTACTGCTGAGCAAGGAGCCCAACACAGTGTTTGATCTCACGACCCTGAGATCATGACCTGAGCTGAAATCAGGAGTCAGCCATTCAACTGACTGAGCCACCCAGGCACCCCAAATTTTAATATTTCCATTACCTCAGAGAGAACACTCACCCTTTACCTATCACCCCTTTATTCCCCTACACCCCCACTTCTCAGCTCTAAAGAACCACAAATCTACTTTGTCTCTACATAGAGTCCCATAGTGTGGGATTTCAGAGAAGTAGAATAATATAATATGTAGCCTTTTGTGACTACTTCTTTCCTTCAGCATAATATTTCCAAGGTTATCTGTGCTGTAGCATGTATCAGTACTTTATTCCTTCTTATGACCTAACCTTATTCCATTGTGTGGCTAGACCACATTTTGTTTATCTTTTTGTTAGCTGGTGGACATTTAGGTTGTTTCCACCTTTTTATTTATTAGGAATAATGTGCTCTGAACATTCATATTAAAATTCTATATAGGGGGGCGCCTGGGTGGCTCAGTGGGTTAAAGCCTCTGCCTTCGGCTCAGGTCATGATCCCAGGGTTCTGGGATCGAGCCCCGCATCGGGCTCTCTGCTCAGTGGGGAGCCTTCTTCCTCCTCTCTCTCTGCCTGCCTCTCTGCCTACTTGTGATCGCTGTCTGTCAAATAAATAAATAAAATATTTAAAATTCTATATAGGGAAATTCTTTCACTTATCTTTGGTATATATCTAGGAATGACTTTTTTTCGGTCATTTGATAACTCTATATTTCATCATTTGAGAAACTGTCACATACTTTTTCAAAATGGCTGCACTGTCTTTTAGCCCTGTCAGCAGCAACTGAGGGGTCCAATGCCTCTCTGTCTTCTCCAGCACTGGTTATGATCTCACTTTTCCATTCTAGTCATTGTGGTTTGTGTGAAGTGGTATACCATTGTGGTTTTGACTTGCATTACCCTGATGATTAATGGTTTGGAGCATCTTTTTATGTGTTTATTGGTCATTCATATATCTTTCTTAGAGAAATGTCTATTCAAGTTTCTTTTGCCAGTTTTAGTTATTGTGTTCTAAGACTTTGTTATATAATTTGGATACGAATGTCTTAACAAATATATGATTTGCCAATGTTTTCTCCCATTTGGTGAGTTGTCTGTTCACCTTCTTATTTTTGTTTTAATGTTAAGAAGATCCAATTTGAGGGGCGCCTGGGTGGCTCAGTGGTTAAAGCCTCTACCTTTGGCTCAGGTCATGATCTCAGGGTCCTGGGATAGAGTCCCGCATCGGGCTCTCTGCTCAGCAGGGAGCCTGCCTCCTCCACCTCTCTCTCTCT